ACATTATTAATTTATGAAATATATATATATATATATATATATTCAGCTTTTGCCAAGAAGAGACTGGCTTAATTTACACTGATTGTTTAGTACACATACCAAGTACTAAATCTGCTTCTTTGATTGGGGTATATTTTACACTAAACAATTTATACCTATCAAAGAAGCAGATTTAGTACTTGGTACGTGTACTAAACAATCAGTGTAAACTAAGCTTTGGTTTTGTTTAGATATAAAAATTATATTAGACATAAAAGCATTTTTTGTTGTTTAATTTTATCTTTATCACATACTATAAGTAAACTATAAAAAGTGAAGATAAATTACACAAAATATAAAATTTAAATAAATGTAATTCTCTGAAACTATTGTATTGAAACACAAAAAAATGCTAACAGAACAAAAGAAGTAATAGAAACATTCAAGTCTAGAACAGTCAAGTTTAGAAGTCTAGAACACATTCAATCATCCATACCTCGCCTTATTTTATATCTTACAAAATTGTTCTATATTAAACTATATTATTTACAATATAACACAATCCAATACAATTCTTCCTTTTATCTCTTTTCTTCTTAACATTTTTTTTTATTTATATCATCTTGTAATGTTTCTTTCCAATTGACATTTCTTCTTACTTATTACTTATTTTCTATTTTTCTATTTACATTTTTATTTTATATTTTACATTTGATTTTCTTTGGTTTACCTTACATTTTCCCATACAGCACAAAATATCCTACATATTCTTAGGACATCTTGGGGAGATCTCGATGTCCTCAGAACATCCTTGGGACTCTGAAATATCCTCGATGTTCTGAGGATATCCTGAGGATCCTGAGGATATCCTGAGGATATCCTGAAGATTTGTGCTGTATGGGTTACTTTACATATTATTTGTTACATCATTATTTTTATTTCTTTTACCTTTATTTTTTTTTCCTTTTAATTACACTCCACCACATCTTATTCGTAAGTCACATCCTATATCTCCTCTGCCTACTTCTACACTTACTTCCTACGCTTTTCTTTTCTGTTTTCTTTTTCTTTCCGTAATTTCACTAACACCTTCTCTTTTGTCTCCCTTATTTTTCCTAATTTTTCCTTTGCCCATCTCCTTGAACCGTTCCTTCACTATTAAACATTCCTCCACATAATGTTCTATTTTATCTTGACCTAAACCACAGAACACACACAATTAACCTTCTTTGAATCAGTATTTATTTTCTTCTTCCATGTTTCCACAAATGGAGTTTATATAAATCATTCCAAATACAGAGTTTAAGAAAATGTTTACATTTATATAGAAATAACATTTGTAGAGAAACAATAGAAAAACATATGCTATGTAAAATAGAAACAGTAGAAAAATATGTATCGTATTTTGTCTTTAAAGAAGCTTTGCTTATTCATTATCATATGGAATCTCTCAGATTTTCAAAGTCTTCAGAGTTCTTTTTCCCAGAAGTACATTTCTCCATGTATAAATTCTCTATATAAATGATAAGTTAACAATTTTTTAAGTCCTATATTTTTTTAAGTGCTATGTTATCAATTTATCAACACGTGGATACAACACATGTATATATTTAAATATTAGTAGAAAAATAGGATTTGCATCTTTTAGATGCCTTTGATATGCGTATTGTACAGTTTCTTCAGTAGTTTATTATTTTTCTGTAGAAAATTAAGAGGAATTGCTATCTTTATCTTGCAAAATATAGTATATCGAAGAAAACTTACAATATATTGCTTTATGAAAAGAAGCTAAATATGTATTAAAATTTTTAATAATATATTTATTTTTAAGATGTCAACTGGAAGAATGTCGAAACGATTACAAGAACCAGTTGATCAGTGGCTGGCAAAAGAAGGCTATTTTCGAAAGCCTACGCCCAGAGATCCGAATTGTTTATTCAGATCAGTAAGTGAACAAATTTATCATACTCAACATTATCATTTGCAAGTAAGAAAAGAGTGCACAGAGTTTATGAAGAGGGAGAAACATTTATTTACAAATGTAAGTATCTGTCTATTCAAGTAGATATAACATTGTTCTCATGTTTAATAATTTGATACATGCATCTCGTTTTCTTTTTTTATAGTCTATAATGACATCGTTCGATTATTATATAGAAGAAATGGAGTGCTTTACAGAATGGGGAGGTCCGAACGAGATTCGTGCTATGTCCCTGCTGTACAATAGAGATATTATTATATTTATTGCAGATAAAAAAATATGTGAAAATGTGACTAATAATTATAAAGAAGGTGTGATATTACTTTGCCACACAGAATCCAAGCAATATGAGCCTGTTTATCCTATGGCTTTTGTTCAGTCAGCTGCTTATTGCCAATGTATGTAAATATTTCCTATTAATTTACATTTAGACAATGTATTTAACAAAGATTTTAAGATGTTTAATTTTCTTTTTTTTTCTTATAATTTTTGATAGCTATTGTTTACGAAGTTTTGTATAAGTATATGTATAATATGCCTAACGTAAAGACTGTTGCTGACAAAATGTTACATAATCGCAATGCAACGTTAAGACATGACAAGTTTTTTCAGAAAGGAAATCTTGACATTAGAGGGTGAGTTATAATTTTCAGTTTTGTAATACATGTGATACTTTTACAGCAAAGGGGCCTATTTATGATCAGTTAACATTGCGTATTGTGCAACATAAGTTTACTCAAAGTACGAGAGAGTAGAAAGTAGTTCAGAAAAGGACAAATCAGCACTATTTATGTTCAATTAATTGTTTTAACACGTAATGTTGTGCTACACGATTAATCGTGAATGGGCCCTTCAAGGATTGTGATTTAAAGATAAATATTAAAAAATGTATAAATTATTTGTAAAACGAGGTATATTTTTACAGACAATTGGTTGAAGACTTATATAAGAAAGTTAAAAATGGACATGGTGATACAGCCGACGAAGCGCAGTCAGAATGGAAGGGAACACCGCCTATTCCTTATAAAGTTGCCAAAGCTTTGGCTCCTGATTATTATCGCAATATAGAGTTGGATATATGGCATGAATTGAAACGAGGTATAAATAAATATATAATATATACTTACATTACATAACGCGTGCATATTTGAATTCATAAATGTATCAAATATAAAATAATATAAGAAAACTTCTTTGATATCTTGAAAAACAAAATGTTGAAAAATAAAATTATTTGTATGCAGAGGTGAAGTCCGCTGGCTGGAACAGGTACAATAGCAATGAGCTACAAGTCGGTGGCAAATGTTTAATAGAAATTAGTGTAAACGATCTACAACGATGCGAAAGAAATAAAAAATTTTGCGTTAATTTACCGGATTTCGATGCTAACGAAGGTGAGCATAAAATTGAGCAACAAAAACTGAAGCAAGGGCATCTTTGGCTTCAGGGATATATCCAGGATATGAAATCAAGCAAAGAGCCAGTCTTGGTTTTTATTAAAGATTTAGGAGAGAAAAAATTTGTGCCGTATGATGCCCTAAAACCCTTGCCAAATCCTAAAAAAAATAGGCAAAAAAATTGGGCACTCAATAGAAGCCATTCAATGAATTCCGATTCAAGTAAGGTTATATTGAATCATTTAATATTAACATGATTATTATACAACTAATTTTTATCTTGTATCTTGTTAGGTCGACGATGGAGAAAGTCATATAATTTCACGCGAAAGAGAAAAGATACTCTAAGTATGACAAACGGAACAACAAATACAAATAAAAATGTATCAATAAATGATGATGTCGATATTGATAACAATAACGATATTAGTAAAATCAGCTTTGAAAACGATGGATATAATAACGAAATTTCGTATGTATTAATTACTTTATTAAATTGGATTATAAAGATTACATTATATATGTAATTTATTAATGTCGAAAATTTGACAAATATTTCTAACAAATATAATGCTACTTTATGATATAATTTTTTTTTAATTTTATAATCAAATCTGCTTCTAGTAAAACAAACAATTATCGAATAGAGGATCACAGTGCAGAGGATTGTGCGGATTGTATGATAAATGTAAGAATGTAACATTGTATTTATGTAATACATAGAGAAATACTTTCTCACATCTGTGTTTTATTTGTAGGAAAAAGCTGTTAATCAAGCTGCAGAAGTTACATCCGACAATTTACAGTCTACAGTATTGAACAATGTGATGCAAGAGACAGTAGAAGAACATAAAAAGACTGATGCTGCATTTAAAAGAATGAACAGCACTGCAAGAAACAAGACTGAAAAATCTAACAATTATGATAATAGTTTTCAGAATTCGTGCTCAAAACCAAAAATTTCAGACGAAAATTATCCTGTACCTTACAATGGTAAGTATTCTCAATAAATAACATATTATAATTTAAAATGTTATAACAAATTTGAAATTTGTGTAGTAATAATAATCTATAATTATATTATTTATAGGTAAATCACAAGTAAATACGAATGGCAATCCAAATATGTCTTATGCTATGCCAGATAATAATTATGCCTTTTATCCATATATGCCAGGAAATTTTGGGGAACACAACCAAATGGATCGTATGTATTAATTATACAGTTAAAAAAAACTGGACGTTAATATTGATTTTTAAATTGTAAAAAGCTCATACGATTTAAAAATCAAAATAAATGAATTTAAGGGCTAAAAGCGACAGCAAGATGTACGTGCTGAATAATAATGTATTTATTGAAATTGTTCAAACATTTCGATCTGACATTCTCAGTGAAATTTGACATCATAAAACCAAGCGCTTAAGAATACAAAACGAAGTATAACAGACAATTTACATTCTCTCCGTTGACGTAAATTTAAGTGTTCGTTGAAGTTAAAAATATGGCTTTTAGCCCTTTATTTCACTGATTAATTTTTATGTAGAATAGTTGCGTTTTCTTATCATCGACGACTATGTTTATTAATGAATATTTTCTTTTCCTTAAACATTAATAAATATTTTCTTTTCTTTTACGCTTTATTTTAGATACATTCGCATCAAATTTCTTTTATAATTTGCATCTGCTACATCTAGAGGTACGCAATTTTTAAAAGAGTATTGCAATTTATCGTTTCGAAAATATAAAATCAGAATGTAAATTGTTCACAGGATACTTTTCGTATTTTAAATCCAACTTATTATGGAACTGTAGCATATGGGCCGGGTCAGCACAGTATGCAACCTCTAGGCGTACCATCTAATGCTAACAGTAATTTATTAATCATATGAAAGATCATATAAAAGAATTCATTAATGTTGCATTTTATGAACAACTTTTTCTACAGATATCCCATATATGCCAGAAGAAGTAGATCGTATTGTGAATGGAATGCAGAACTGTTCATTAACGTACAATGAGGGAGCAAGTAATGAGATTCCCAACACTTCGTATTCGAACAATACTAGTGTGCCAAATGCAAGACTACCAAAGCAAGGATCGAAAAACTTAAATGGCAAAGATTCCTCGTGTCAAGCTTCGCAGAAAGGAAAACAAACTGCAACTGCTAAAGGTAATTATACAATTGTACAATTTAAAAACTCTTGTTATAAGGAAAAGTGACAATTAAAGCCATTTGCAAGCAAGAATTGTTAAAAAAGGAATTGTTTTACGAAAAATCTGATAATTGCAAAATAAATCACGTATATAACTTTTTTTGCAGGAAACAGAACGCGTAATCGCCAGCACAATGTTCGCCTATCGGCGTACGCACAGCACTCGAATAACAATTGTACTGCAATTCTGAACACATCGGGTAATACATGTGATACTCGAAGATACGATGCACTAGCGCAGCAGTCGCCACAGCAACATTGGGATGTGATGTTACATCAAATGACGCCTATGATGACCAACGCTTACGCGGCGCCTCAATATGCTCCTCCAAACATGCTACCTGCTGTGCCTTATCATGAGTTGCCTTCTCACTGCGCAAACGAGAATGGTTTGGGAAACCTTCCTTATTACTTGGGGAATGGCAGTTACATGCCTATGCCGTACTTACCGACACAACACGTCGATGCGGTCGAAAATGCAGCTATAGCTCCATATCCGCAACATCTTTATCCTGCCGAAACTTATTCAAGTTATCCACCGAACCCTGGTCAACTGATGCCAACATATCCACCGCCACTGATGTATCATCAATCAATGCAGTATCCTGCTATGTTACCGCCACCACAACCACTACCACCACCATCACACATGCAGGAACAATGGAATCCTACGCTGCAGCCTTATATGCAGTGCCCGGCTTCACAGGCCATTGTAGACTCATCCTCAAACGGACAAGGTGCTATTCCTAACGGTTCACTTTAGATTATATTAAATTAACTCAAGACTGAAAGACAAACGAAAAGTTTTGAAGACTGATAGAGTAAAACATTGCAGTAAATAACAAAGAATATTACAATATTATTAATATACATTATTATTATTGTAATAAATCGTTGTGTTATTTTTTGTTATTTACTGTAATGTTTTACTCTATCAGTCTTCAGAACTTTTCGTTAGAGTAATATTAAGATAATTACTATCTGAACACTGAGAGTATCAAAAATTATACGATAATAATTAAAATTTGTTGCAGTAAAAAGATTAGAGTAACATCAGATTCTTAAAATATAGCAATATAGCATTGTAGTAATTAATACAATTATAGAATTTAATTAATACCATCATAGAATTTAATTGTATTAATTATTGTAGTTTGCTATAATATTTTGAAATTTAATCTTTACTGCAATAAATTTTAATTACTCTCGTATGATTTTTGATACTCTTTTAGTGTATTAGATATTAATTATTTTAGGCACTTAAATTTATCAAATACTTAGCAAATACTTAGCATTCTTAATCAGAAATCTCATAATGTTAATATATTAATATGGTAACGTTATGACAGTGTTATTATGTTTATATGGTAACTTTGCCTAATATATGTAACCTATATTAGGCAAAGTTACCATATAAATATAATTACACTGTCATAACGTTACCATATTAATATATTAACATTATAAGATTTCTGATTAAGAATGTAGCTAAGTATTTGATAAATTTAAGTGCCTTTAAAACGCAGTTTTTGTAAATTTAAGTTTAAAAAGACTGGAGAACAAACATGATCGAATTTCTCTTAGAATTTCAACATTGCTTTTAACGAGTAATGTAGTTAATGACAATTTATTTGCTGAAAGAAAAATTCGCGTAGTGTTCCATTAACTACAATGATAAAAATGTAACTTTTCTATAAAAAAATATTTTGTTCATGAGATTTTTGTCGATACGTATCTTAAACCATTGAAAAATATCGTATTTTCATTATGATTATTTTACGCGATGTTTTTTTAATAAGATACCGACAAATATCAAAATGGATATATATATATGCAGAAGTATCTTTCTATTGAGATATTATTATTGATAGGTCCTTATTGTTAGATCGATATTAATCATAAGTCAGGCTTTATAATTATTACTTATCTCAATTATTTCAAAAAAATGTCCTAGCTTAAAGCGTAAAATACTTGAATTAAAACTTTAGGATACTTGAAAATTAGTATAATGCAAACTAAGATCTTGATATAATCTTTAATAATACTAAATTACTAAAAAAATGTTCCTCCATACTTATACAATTTTTACTTAAGATTAACCTTTATACAACTTTTGCTAAACCTTATACAAATAAAAGTTCAGATAATCATTTCCGTTTTATTTGTGTTTTCCTATTCCTTTCTTAGTGTTCTTATTATGATAAGTTGTGACAAACGAACTATTCGAAGGATCTGTGTACCATGATCTCGAAATTTTTGAAAGTCGATTTCAAGAGAGCATTGTGCAACGTTTGCCACAGTCGATTCTACTCGTGGAGGAAAGATATATATACTTTGTTTATTCATCGAAGTTATTTTCTTACAAAAATCAACTCCATTATCGGCACAGAATGACTATCATCATTGTGATGCTTGTACCATGTTATAATTGAAATAGAATAGCCAAAAAATAGATACTTTTTTATTTTTCCTCTTACGATATATTTACGAGAAGTAACGGAATAGTTCCTCGTGCTATCGTACAAAGAATCCGTGTCGTAAAATGGTAAAAAATCTATAGGAAATAAAAGAGTACCAGATTTGGAGTAATATCGTAACAACATTGACGCTTACGTTAAGTCAGAAAATCACAGAGCATTTTTTCTTGGTACAAATGTTATTCACATATTTGACTTGTACAATTCTTTCGTAGTTTAGTAGTTCAGTTGTACATTTTTTTTTTTTTTAAATAGAATGACACGAAAGACATTTAGGGCTACTGCAGGCTCGTAATAAAAAGGGTCTGTTTAATATCATATGTTTTAATATAGACAGAGATTAATATTCGGTAAAATGTATATATACGATCAATCGGAATAATATGATGTTATAATACTAGAAATTTATTCAATTTATAGAAGATACTTTTTCATATAAGATATTCATATTTCTACTTTATCCTGAAATTTAATAATAAATGTCCTGATGAATAAATCTACGAGAATGCTAATAAAGCAAAAGAGTTCTTGTTCGATTAGCTAACAATGGAATTTGGTGTGGACTGACATCGATTGAGCGATTAATCGGTTAACAAATCACTCTTACATCTGCATATATTTCATAGAAATTCTAATATCGAACCATACAATAATCTTCCCCATGTATATATGCAAAAAAAAAGATTACTTCTGCGATACATTTCAAAAGCGATAGTTAGGTAGACTCGCTGTTACAGGGTTTTTCTTTTGATTTTGATCGGCGGAATACTACGCTCGCATATCATACAACGTGCTAACGCTAGAGGCACTCTAAGAACTGAGATTTCGCAAGGTAATCAAGAAAAGGTCCAGTGTGATACACGAAGCTTAATGTTAAATTATTTACACGTATATTACACTTGATCTTCGCTATTTACAGTCGAAAATCTCAGATGGACACACTCGAATGACATTGACATAACGGAAAAAAGAAAAGAAGAAAAAATGGAATGGTAAATTCTACGTTTCTCCGCACATTTTTTTAAATAAACATTCTTCGGAAGTGCGACGTACAAGGAAATGCTTATAGTTTACTATACTCTCGTGCTGCGACTTGGTGTAGGCAAATCTATTTGATGTTTGAGGCCAAGAATTCCTCAAGTTTCATCCGTTTTCGCTGCGTTCAAGTCCGCATTTTTACGAGAATCTTTCTCTCGCTCGCTTTTTTTCTCTTTCTCTCTCTCTCTCTCTCCCTCTCATTTTACACATTTACACAATAAAACATGCGATTAGATTTGCATAGTACTATTGGTGTCTCATCAAGTGTGTTAATGAATTCCTCTAGATATAGTGCATCAATCGTATAATCTATCTGTACACTCACAACACAGTTCAGATACACAATAATATTAACATATTTAATATTGGACTAATAAAAACGGGACTGCTGAAAGATCTTACAAGAAAAATCGCGGTAATAAAAATCTTCGTGTAATCATCAATAATTTGTATCTCCGATTGCTTCCAGACGTAAAATGACAACATTTGATTTATTAAATGTTAGTCTGTTTATCGAAAGTTATTAGTAGACAGTTAATGGCGGATGTATATGCGAGGGAGGAAAACAACAGATAACGCTGCGGCGCGCTTCTCAGAAATTTTATTTTTCGCTTAATCCATGAAAAAGAGAAATCAATTCACCATAATTCTCATATAATTCACTTCATTCAGTCACTATTTATATACGATAAAGGTATTACAGTAATTTGCTATGTACGAATTAATTTTTAGCCACTTCCATATCAGATCTGAATCGTAGGCGTTACACTACAGAACCAGGATGTCAGTTCTGATTTGAAAACAACTTTTCTCTATATATAAGTCCATATTAAATATATTTTACAATAATATTATCATTGTACATGAACAACGTATGCTCTACACCTCGCGTTGCTTATCGCTAACTAACCAGCGCAAAAAAAAAGGTTTTCAGCATTTGACGAGAGTAAAACAAAATTTAAAACAAACATCATATACTTGATATGCACATATCATAAAGGATCGCTGATCGTGAAAATTTATAAATTTGTCACGACGTTAAACATTCTGGCTACAAAGTTTATATCAGGAAAATCTTGCAATAGTAATGAAGGAAATATAACACAATGACCCAGCATGGAGATTCAAAAAGAAACAACAAAAACAAATTTGAAAATTCTATAAGCGATTCGTGAAATTTTACAATCAAGTACTGATCATTCAAGTTCAGTTTAGTTTACTTAGCTTTCCTTTCTAGACTATGTTGTGTACAGATAGGGTACAACATAGGCGGAGAAAATAAAATCTGAATTAATTTCAGATCTGTGCAACAGATTCTAAAACACATTGTAGACGTTTTCTATCGTGTTTTTCAAAAAGCTGCGTTGTCTGGGAATAATGATAAAATAAAAATGAGACTCTAATGCGCTGGTTGAAGCAACGATCGACAAGAAGGTGTTAATTAGTTAAAATAGACGAGGGGGACTGGATTTGTGTGACCCCAATATGTGCGCCGCCTTGGTACCTCCTAGTAAAACAAATCTTGTGTTAATATCGATTATACATTGTCAATTATTATGTGTTAAACATAATTTAATCTTTAGGAGGCCACAAGAGTTTTAACGCGTCTTCAAACAAATCAGCATATTTTAAAACAAGTATTAAAGATGTATCGAGTTTCAATTTTTGCAATTTTACCTTTAGAGGAGAAAAAACCTAGGCAATTTATTGGACAAACTAAACATTATTCTCTAGAACGAAATCTTCACGATTTAAAAAATGTTGCAGCCTTTTAAAGATTAAAATAACAATAGTTATAAAAATGCATATATATTATGCTAAAAAAAGAATTTATCTGAAAGATACGACTGAATACTCACATAAAAGTAGTGGTAAAACAGGCGAAAGGAGGTTATTCCTTATTTTCCTCGGGAGTAACAGTGTTGGAGGGATTTTGAGACTCCGATGAAGATAAAGGTAGCGCTTCCGCTGCGGCGTCCGTTGCATCTTGACTCGAGTCCGAGCTGTCCTTTACCTCCTCCTGCTTTTTCTCTTCGCTGGGGGCGGTACTTTTAGCTTCGTCCACCACATTCTCCGATTCCTCCGTCACTTTCTCATCCTTGGAATTAGCCTCGGATATTTTTTCAGTGTCTTTACTGTCTTTACTGTCAACGCTCTCCGCATTTTTGTCCTCATTCTGTATCAGTTTGCTTTCCTTTTCCTCTTTCTCTTCTTTTTCCTCATCTACCTCCATCTTTGTAGATTCCTCTTCCGTGTGCTTTTCATTTTTATTGTTAGATGTTTCCTCGTCCGTGTTGTTTTCATTCTTTTCTTGCCTCTTGGGACGTCCACGTCCACGACCGCCGCCGCCCTTCGACGATGTTTCTCTTTTTTCCTTCTTGGGTGGCGATGGCACTGGTGTTGTTGAAGTTAGGCCTCTGGCTGAACTGCGGGTGCGTCTTCTGCCTTCTACTTCGCCAACGGATTTGTTCATGCCCTGCAATAGCATAAATGTGCATTAAAACAAAGGAAAACAAATTTATGTTTGGGATTCGCAAAATATTTTCAAGTTTTTCAATGATTTTGGAATTATAAGTAGGAAAAAATGTAAATAGCAAATTTGTATTTGGCGCCCATGCAACGATTGATTCCCCACGCTCGCGCAGAATGCTCTCCTCTTGCCGTCCCCTCGCCCTCCAACACCCATCCCCACTCCCGACTCTTTTTGCGTTCACATAGGCAGCGGCAGAGTCAACGAGGGGGACTAAAATGGAGGGAAACGAGCGGGAGAAGGGAAGGAAGCGAGAACCTTGACCATCGGGACCTCGATGAAGATTTTGGGACACGCGATAAGCCGGCCCGATACGATGCCGAAAGTTTTTCCTGCTTTAGATTACCGCGTAACATCTCCCAGAGACGCACCTTTAAGAGTGCCTCGCCTTCCTGAGCAGTTCTTTCGAGGGTGGAAAGTCTCTTGGTGCCGCTTCGTTTGTTTTTTGTCGGGGTCGGCTTCTCCTCCGTTGACTGTTCCTGCAATACCGAGTTTTCTGTTCACTTATATGTACACACACACACAACACGCGCGCACACGTCGTGTTGTGTGTATGTGTGTACATATGCGTGCGTGTGTATCATCTATATACCGGGCAAATGTAGCTCGTTACGCAGTTGCGCGATGTCTCGAGATTACTCAAAGAACCAAGAGCCGCACGGAAGAAAACGGACGACGAGCGCACGGCAACGGCACGACGCGATAATTATGACGCTCGCGCGATAAGATTATCGGAGACCGTTGAACCGATGGTCGCCGAAACCGTCGTGTTGTTCAAGTTTCCCGCCATTTTGCCGTGCGCCCGTCCGTGTCGTCTCGTAACGTCTACACCTCACGCGCCAGGTCCGGCCGCCAGGTCGTCAACAGCGTCTCAGCGGCTCCCCCCGCGGCATACACGCGGCGTCGACGCCGACGGTCGTCGTCGTCGTCCACGTTCCCGCCGTGATGCGACGAGACGATTTCCCGCCTTTTTGACACGGCGCCGATCGCGGTAGCCGGAACGAGAGCCGATGACGACTCAGCCCGGTCGTGCGAGCTCGACTGCGAGTAAAAAACATCCACCATCTTTGGCGATGACGAGAGAAGCTGTACGTGCGTGCGTACGTGCGTACGGCGCAGCTACGAAAAATCGCCGGACGAACGGACGGACGGCCGGTCACGGCGCGGAGGTGTACGGCGCCGTCGCCCGACGCGCGGCACCACATGGCGCGGCCGCGCCATGACGCCGCATCGTAGGATACGCGTGTACGCGGTTGCCTCATCGTCGTGTCCGGCCCTCCGGAGTCCGCTGTGAACGTATCGGAGCGTCTCCGTGGCCTCCGGGTGTTCGAGCGGAGGGGGGGAAGGCTGCCCGCCGCGCACACACGCCGCTCTCCACGGCATGAAAACTCGGCTTGACGAAGGTGTTTCTGACGTGCCCCTGCAGTCCGCTTACCTTGGACGCATCCTCGACATTGTTGTCGTTCTTCGTCTCCGTCTTGGCGTCGGACATCGCTTCGTGCACGAATCACTTACAAACACTGGGAAATCCACGGTTCTACGACGAGAATTCGCGCTGCGCCCGGTCGGACTGTTTATACGATGAGGAAGATGGCGGGTAGCGTGGGTCACGTGACACCTCGTCAAACCTCAGAGCGGGAGTTGGACGCGCCACGTCGCGTCGCCGAGGCGTACTACACGCGTAGCGACGCACACTCAGCTCTGATATTTTCGTCGGCGGCGCGTCGTTCGTACTTCGCGTACGCGTTAATGTAATTATGTCAAAATTTTTTATAGTAAAAAAATTAACAGAACAAAACATGCCACAACGGGCAACAATATGATAATATAGTTCTTTGTATTTTGGAAAACCGTGCAAAATAAAATCATATTGTATATAAATTTCTACGCATTTTAAATATAATCGCAAAATTAAGTTGTTGCCATTATTATATAAAAGCAGCGTTTTTAATTAAATAATTAAAATATAATTATATAATAATAAAAATAAATATATATAAATTTAACACGAATTACTATCACACAAAAATTAAATGCGGATAATTTTGATAAGTTAGATTTAAAGTTTTTTTTTAAATTTCAAAAAACGAAGAAAAATTCAAATCACTTCAAATCTATTTTACACCCAAAAATCACATTGCAGTTTAGAAAATCCGTTTCATAAATTATATAAAAATATATACGTTTCACGAATTACATGTTATAATTAAACGCTGCGTACCTGTTGTACTTACCTCTTTTAAAAATATGTTTACATAGTACATCCATATATTACTGAATTATGGAGCCAATAAGCTGGAGAATCACAAGCCACTCTCAGCGATTTTTTAATCGCATAAGCTGCTTCAAAAAATAAATTTTCTCATGCTTCTTCACTATGTTATGAAACATATAATGTCATAAGAATTATACATTACTTGTACTCAACAGAAGGTATTAAAGTGTAAAAGTTGTTGCTTAGAATCTAAAAAAAATACTTATTATTAGATATGCATAATACCTATTTCTCGCATTTTTTTCGTAATTACATTTCTGATGCTTGATATATCTAATATATTAAGTGTCTTAATATCTTCTTATCTCAAACGAAAATGATTAAAAATAATAGTTTGCGGCTAACGTTCATTAACTTTCGACTTGAAAAGTCTTTAGTGAGTCGGCATTCTTCGAAACCAGAATCTTGCCCTGAAATCGTCACTGCACGTCAAAAAAGCGGGAGCAGTTGGTGAGTGCACAATCAGTCTAACGGGGCCGTTATGACCCAACGACAGCAACTGCTTTCTTGACGCGTTACGAGAGTTCCAAGCACACAATGAAGTCGTAGCTTCGTCAGGGAACATCACGTAATCCTCGGTGTGATTAAAAATGGCCTGTGCTTTGTGTTCCTGTTTGCCTGTAGAAAATAAAATGAGTCAGATATTTATGATTTTGCTATTGTAACATTAAAAAAAGACATATCCCACCAACCATACTCCAAATATGCCTAAACAAGTTTATGGGCTTTTACCTGTAGTTCCGGCACCTGTGTACGCTATTAAACATCTACTGGTAGATAATTCCCATAATTTTATTAAGGAATCTTTTCCTGAGGACAGTAAATACTGAAATGCAAAATTAAACCATTATTCAATACTGTTTGTAGGAAGTAAAGCTGTGAATTTTTGCAGTAATTTATATATAAAAAAAATTATGCGTTATGTTACCAAAATTATTACCTTGCCATTCCTTGTGAAAGTCACTGAGCATACTTCGTAACCATCGTGCGCTTTTACAAAAGTGTTTATACATCGGCTGGATACGCCATCCCAAAGCTTTATACTACCGTCTTTGCCCGCTGACGCATAAGTCTTTGCATCTGGTGAATACTTGATGCTTGTTATTCCAGCTGTATGCTGGTGGCTCGGTATACTACATACAAAACACTGTGCAGTGTTTACGTCGTACAATCTAACTACTGGATGATTAGTTCCGACTATGAGAAAGTCTCCAGTTGGATGAAAGGACAGACACCGAATTTGATCAGCATCTGTAATAGTTCTAAATGCCTTCTTAACACTAGCTTTACTAAAATCGAATAGTTTTACGGAGAAATCACGACTGCCAGACACAAGTATGGGTTCTCTCGGATGAAATTCTAAACATGTCACTTCTTCCAAATGATCGTATAAAGTTCTTATAACTGGATGGCCTCCAGTTTGATCTCCAGGTGCCATTTCATCTGGCGCAGACTTAGCCAGCATTCTGTCCACATCCAAGATCTTGATTGAAGCATCCACAGAACCAGTAGCTATCAACTGTCCATCTGCTGAAAAGGCTCCTGCCCTACAGTTTCCTTTATGTGATGTGACATATGCTGTTTCATATTGCGCTGGTTCTGGAGCTTGCGTCTGAGTTTCAGTCTCAAATTCCAAATCTAATCCAGGTCCTAATGTGTTGTCAAAGCTTGACGCAAATGTGGACAAGCTGTTGCTAGTATCTTTCTTGGAACGATCTGGTTCATGAGCTGCACCGATTAACATTAAATGAAGTAGCCGATCCGAAGGTGGACATGGTGGTTCTGCCTGTATTATGTTGGACAACTGCACAGCTAGAGTCTGATGGCCATCGTAGAACAATTGACTGAAATGTTCAACACAAGTTACTTAATAAACTTAATAACTCTTTTCACCTTTATTATTCGCAAATTAAGTTACAATTATAAACTGATGTTGCAAATGTAAGTATGCATAAGAATTGCGCTTTGAACAAGAATATTAACAATAAAAGAGCAATTAATAATCTCAGCAGGCAAAGTGCTTTTAAAAAAATAAAATTAAGTAAAAAAGCAAGATGCAGTGGAGTGCATGCAAACAAAATAATTATAAACAACCTTATCATCAATCTGTAGAGCTGTTCTCTACTTTTTATTATGTTCTTTGGATCCACCTCAGGCTCCTTCATCGTGCTGTGGCTTGTCGTGTTTTCTGAAGGTGACTGAATGTTGCCGGCTTTTACGAAAATCACCGAAAGAATAGAAAGTATAGCAAATCGTCCATCAATCAATAAATTTACTTTGATTCGGTAATTTATTTATTTATTTTTTTTATATTTATGGTGTCACTTGTATAGATTTGAATCGATAAATTTTTTTCTTTTTTTTTGCTAGGTTAAACGTCTTCAGTTCTTTTAAGTTCCTTTTAACATAAATTAATCAATAAATTGGTTTTTTTATCTTCGAAATGTTTTCAACTTAATTGAATCGATCGACCCGGTTTCTTTGCAGGTTAAATCGTGTTATTGTCAGAAATCCGCTTATATCATAAACTAAACATATATAAATAGATATAGATATGATAGATTCACATTGTTCTCATCCGCCGTACGACATCTGGTATACAATAAGAGAATTAATTTTTTAGGAACTAACAGGTATTAGATAAAGTTTCTAGAAAATACATTTTTTTATTCAATGTTGGCATCTCTTACATGCAATTATTGGATGTATGGTAAGTTTTCCATTACTGTAATGTGATTGGTTCGTTCCAGCAACTGAAGCAATACGGTATTTTGAATCTCGACATTCAATATGAAATGGCGATCACTCACGGAACGCTTTGCGAAATACGTGCAGTATCCAATGCAATTTCCGCAAATGTTTGATCATCGAAAGCATATCGCGAGCGTAAATGAATATTGAGTTCATATTTATGCGTCTGGATGTGTGGTAAGTGAAATGGGCATACGTAGTATCACCCACGATTCATACGAATTTTTGTACCGAAAAGTATCGAATTTTGATCGCACGGCATTCATGTATTTTAGCGATCGGTCTTGACGAATCCAATATGCTAAGGAACCTCGTCGGCAGGTATTACGCTGAGGACAATCTTGGTAGATAAATTTACTTTTTATACTTATAATTTGCTTCTAAATAATTATTATCTTTTAATATGTGGAATAAGTAGGCTACAAGGTCAATGCTAGATTTTAACAAGCATTTTTCTCTATTTTTTGTTTTATTTATTTGTTGATTCAAACAATCGTTTTGATTGCGGTTGTGCTCTTCTTAGCCTTGTAGTCATATTATTCCACATATTAATATTTTGTTAGAAACCGTAAGACCACAATACGACATTATATTATTATATATATATATTTTTTGCTTTACTTTTATTAAACTAACCTATTATATATTTTAATTGTATTTTTATTTCTTTTTGTTTTTATTTTATATAAATTTATGGAAAATTATTATTTATTTTTCTTATTCTTGCTTGAAAAAAATGATTTAATATTTTTAGTACATTTAAAATTTTTTGATTCTGTTTATTTCTTTTGATGTTATTTTTTATTTATATATTTAATATGATATTATGACATTATCAGTACTTACAAGTCATTTTATATTTTTAGATCTTTTGGAATTTTGTGCAGCTGTATCTTCCGCATCTCTCGGTGAGTTCTCTTTTATCTATCATATCATTACAAACTTATTAATATTAATCTGAAAACAGTTGAGTGAAAATAAGCACAACTTTTCTTGATATTTAATATGATGTGCTTCATATTTATTATTAATTGTGATAATTCGCACTTTTTATATAATTCGCAAAGTAAATACAATTCAGCGTAGATAATCGCAAAGTTGATTAAAAAGTTCATAACTTTGTAGAATATATTTTTATCAATTTTATATTTCGGAAGACGAAATCTGCGTCGGAATCTGAAAAGTCGTTATCGAATCGCAAAGTCACTTGGTCGCACGTGGAATACGTAAATCATATAGTTACAGTTTGCGAGTCCGTGACTCTATCAATGCAATCACCCGGGTGCTATAGTCACCCGTGAGAATCAAGACGCTAGAGCACGTGCCGCACGGGGTGCGGACAGGCACCATCGCGCATCTCCTTATCTCGGCGCCACGCGCCACGTCGCCGCGCTCGATTCTATTTACGAACAATAAACACAATGCTCCTATCACGTCGCTTGAGTAGCGACGCTGCCCCAGTTTCACTTTGCCAATAATGATCGCTTCGGAGACACCAAACAACTTGCGCTTGCTCACACTGCACGCTTTAAATGTAGAAACACAATCTGAGTAATATACGACGCGGTGAGTAGTATCGTTTTGTTCGGCCATCAATACCGCACACTCTCATGCGATTGTTTACATCGAAATTTACTTAAGGGTACAACGGGAACATAAGACGCTTAAGTTATTTCTCTATTGCTATGTGTGTATATTGGATTGATCAGAAAGTTCCTTCGAATTTCTCCGTGAAATGAAAGACAAAAGTCCAAAGAAACTTTTCCGATCAATCCAATATATATTGCTATATATACTTCTGGAAAATATAATGAGACTAATATCGGAGAATTGAAGTGAATGTTTTAATATTATACATTATAAGAGGATAATAATGTGATATGGAAGGAAAATAAGAATCGAAATTTAGAGAATAAACTTTATATAAGAAATATATTACATTCAATAGCTTCCATTACCAGAGCTGCACTTTTATGTATTTCTTACTGCGATGGAAATTTTACAAATCACACACGTTAAATTTTTTATTTATTCTACTTATATATTTTATTTAATCTCATTTTATAAATTAATATTTCCGGCGATTTTTTGCAAACATTTTTATGTAAAAAAATGAAAGCGTTATGTCACAAAGTATAAGATTCTAATATATTTAACATATAATAGCTAGTACACATTCGATGATATACAATACTGAACGTTACAAAGTCGAGTTTATTGCCGGGAGAGTCTTAACGGTATTGTCGACGAGTTTCTTTTTTTTGCGCGTTCTAACAGGTTGCAGAGCGATGATGCGCGCGTAGCTCAATTCCCGTTCCCTTTGCTGTTCCTCGATACTGATCTTGTTCAGCAGAAAGGGACCGCTAGTCATCATACAAAATGCGCCAAGCGGCGCTAGAAATATTATAGTGATGAAGGATATTCTCATCACGTCGAGGGCTAATTCGATTTTTGTAGGATCATCTTCTTTTCTAGCACGCTCAAATGCCATCGGCGCTAGTGCTGCCTAATTTTCCAAAAAATTGAGATTTATCAAAATTATTAATTTTATCGGCATTTAAGAGAATTCGCGTAATCGAACGGAAAAATGTTCTCTTTTTACCTGCAAAGTTCCTTTCGGCATCCAAGCTATAGCGATAAAGAATCGTTCTTTCCACGTAAAAGGCATTCTAGACGTTGTTAAGAAAGCGGTAATACAACGCATCTGAAAGGAAATTGTATAGCGTAATTACGTAGTGTAGCAAGCAAATTTACGACCTGCAAGAATACATTCATTTAACATAATATAATAAAATTATTGTTATTAGTCGACATTTTGAAATTTTTTCGCAAGCGCGTAAAAGATTAGGAAAAATAATATTCAAGAATTTTCTGCTCGCGTGCTTTGAGAGTAAATTATTTCTTATATTATTTTATTATTATTTACGGTAACTTACGGATATGCCCATGAGTATGCAAGCGAGATAAAGCCCAAATCTAGATATAGCCCAGTTTCTAAAATCAATATCGGCGCCAATTACGCCTCCTAAAATCGGTTGCACGAAATACCATAGGAAATAAAACGTTTTGTGAAAAGGCGTTGTCTATAAAGAGAATAATTAGTATAAGATTTCTAATCGTCTTTTATATCGGGAATAATATCTGACATAAGCTACGTAAAGAAGATAAATTTTGATGAATTAAATATTTATTATTTATATATATAGAGACTTACATCGTATGAAACTGTTAAGATTCGCCATCCATGAATAGCTATGAATGACAGTATAATAGTGGCGAGATATCCTCCACCTGTGACCGCCAGTTTCGATGCCGCCGTGGTGCACATTAAAGACGCGAGAGCTAAAGCACCGATCCGATACCACGTTGCGTATTTCTGATATTCAACGTAAAAAAAAAAAGGGAGAACAGCGGTCAAATGATAATTTATGTACAGCGATTGGAAATATTCATCCACATGCCGATCCATAAGTTTGAATGAAAGATTAAAGTTCCGTTTTTGCAAACTTTATTCTCCCGCATCGCGCTGTAGAACGATATTTTAATAAAACATCGCGAAAAGGCGTTAATAAGTCTGCCCTTGTTAGTTCAGATTACATGAACGTGCTCTCGCGATACGTGACCTGAATTTTGCAAGCCCC